AAGTCCTCAGAGAGTTTTTTTACAAAAGTACTCGAGCAGCACATTTGTCTAAACCAAACAGAGTAAAGAACACTAACTATTACTGTGTATTAGATATGACACAGGATTATTGCAGACACAGTCCAAATGATTTTTCCCAGGAATCTTGTATGTGAAATACAACACATGTCTATACAAGGAATGCCAACAAACTGGCTCCAGATGCATGTTTGCAATAATCTCAGCAATGCTGGATTACGTTTCACAAAGCAGTACAACAAAACTAGATTTAACAATGAGCCACTCAATTTGCCTTTTGTGTTCAACCGCAACTGTGTGCACAGGTGTACAGTACAATCAGAATACCTGACAACATATCAAATGGGAACTTTTTTTCAGCCTTTTTTCAGTTCCAGTATTGACTGAGCAAACTTAAATTATGTGACTACAACATCAGCAATCTACTGATGTGCTGAAATCAAAGCTTTGGGTAGCTTATTAAGACCCTAAACAAAACATCTCCCATTCCAAGTTGGAAAAATCCTACAGCTGCACAGAAACATGGCAACAGCCATCTCATTTACCTACCCCTGCTCCGGATAATCAGTACCCACACGCTCCAACACACGCAACCCACATAAAGCACACACACACGCACGCACAGCCACGACACCCTAACTCGTTTCACACAGCATCCTTGCTGCCAATTAGATGTTAATAAAGCTGAGAAATGCTGTGGATTAGCACAGATTAGAAATCAACTTTAGAGCAGAGGCTGAAATCAACTGCTGACATTTGTCAGAGCAGAAAGTTTGAATTGATTGTAAGCAGGAAGGAAACAAGACCGCCTGCTCCTTCCCGACTCTGCATCAACATGCATCTCATGCCCACATGTTCCCTCAATCCGATGTAGTACGATTACACAAATACACGCTGAGCGGAGTTTTATCATTCTTTTACCTTTTAAAAAAATGACATCAGGAATGGACCGCTCAACATCACGGCTGACACCATCCTCGGAAATTATCATAAATTTGAATTAAGTTTTGTCATGCACAGCCTCAACAAACCCAGTATTGTAAGATAAGATTAATTACAGGGCTGTTTATATTGGATGATATAAGATTGGTCAGGCGGATTTCTTTCCTGAATGAAGATCATTGTCATGCACAGCACGTCACCTCAAAACTGATTTCATATCATCCCACATCCTGGTTGCTTCCCAGCCACTGCTGCCCTGACACCACATTTGAGCAGTGGGTGTTACCATCTGAGCTCCCCCCCACACCCCCCTCTCCTGATTTGCCATTGTCTCCTGGTAATTTCTGTATGCGAATTGGAAGCCTACTGCAATTACACCTCATTGTTACCGCTGCTACGCGCAGGTTTGAATAGATTGCGGTTTGGGTTTGACACCTGGATTCCAAGACTGCCTGCACCATCTGTTTCTGCGGGTTTCACATTAATGCCAGAAGAAAGGGATTTATCTAAGAAAGGGATTCAGATGAAGGCAAGTAGTAGTAAACATTCTTAAAAGGCTTATTTAAATTATTGACAGAACCACTTTCCCTTCAAAAAGGCCTGACCTTCAGCCTGTCTGCAGAAAAACTGAGGTAAAACATGGAAGAGGGAAAAAAGAAGAAAGAAAAGAAAAAAGGATGGGAATCTTTCAAAGCGTGACCGACTGATGGACACAGGTGGCGTTTGTGCGTATGGATCTGCACTCACTTGTCCAGAGCAGAACCTTGGGTTTGGTTGCTGGTGAGCCTCGAGAAGACGTTGCGGTCGTTCCTGGTCCTCAGAGGAGGGGAGGAGGGGGAGTGTAGCCATCAGTCGGCCTGACAAGGGGCAGAAAGATGGTGGAGTTTAGGATGAGGAAGTTAAAGAGTCCCACTGTGTAAATAAACTGCTAGAACAAAGTGCGATCCATCTGCTAGCGAAATGAGCATTACATGTACCTGTACGCACGGTCGTAAGATTTCCTTCTGGTTAGGGGGGAAGTGTCATAGCCCCGAGACTGCCTGGGACTGACACACACAGACAAATGCAAGCAAACTAAGCAAACGTTCAGGGGAGTGCACAGAAAGGATGACAGACATCTATGTGAACTGTTGGGACTCGATAAGCAGCAAGGTTTATGCAGTTTAAAAAGCATTTCTAGCAGCCTAATCTCCTCAAATATCAAATCACACACATCACTGAGGACTCGTGGCAATTCGCTGAGTTGTTTTTGCTGCACGAAACAGAATAATACCTGACAAACCGCTTTCTATTTTCTGATTTTCAGAAGATGTTTACTTGTGCAGGATTCACAAAATTTCACACATTTTAGTAAATGACTGCAAAAGGAAAACTTTTGTTATTGATGCTGAAAAACCAAAAACAGAAATGATATTAGATTTAGAAACAAAATATCCTCATCATATGAATTCTGCGTGCACTGATTTATATTACATGAAGTGTAGTCACTTTTAAGATGGAAACAATGGCTAAAATATTCACGAGAAGCTAAAAGAGATGCTCACAATGTATATATAGTGGATAATGAGTAAACGCAATCTGACACAAGATGATAGTGCTAGAGCCAATCATTCCTCTCATTGGTTCACATCCTGATAAGACTTAAAGAAAAGTCAGGGCTTCATCTCAGTTATCACTATGATCTGCCAGTGACTTACAAGGTGTGACCCCTCACAGGCAAGCTGATGGTGCGGGATACCCGGTCCCTGTGATACGTGTCTCTTAATGCCAGGCTGAGCCAAGGCTCCCTGGAGCAAGACTCAGGCCGTCCTCCTGGATGTCCGTCAGTGAAGCCAGAGACTTGGTGATGTGCTGCGGTTTGCTGCCGGATGAGGGGTCCAGGATTGGACCGAGGTACTCTGCTGACACCGCCTTCATCTGAGCTGAGAGACGGGGCTCCATCTGGATGAAAATATGAACCGCTTTTATTACAGAGGACCACAGAAGAAGAAGGATGCTTGGATAGGGGGAAAAAACTGGGGCATGAAATAAAGAGAAAAACAATGATTGTAATTAAGGTGCAAAGGGAGATTATATATACAGCCTGAGAACATCGTTCAGCAGGGAAAAGCACAAAGAAAATAGAAGAAGAGCAGTAAAACAAACACGGCAGAAGTCATTCTAGGTTATTATTCTAGGTCAGCAAGAAGAAAGAGAAAAACAAAACTTTAGCAGACTAATAAGAGGGATTCGTGCCAAATGAGGAATCCTTATGCCTCTAAGCTTCTGGGAGTCATTTGAAGTGTTTGCTTCTACTGCCACCTCATGGTCACAAACAAGAATGGCACTATGGCATGTGCATAGGAACTAAAAAAAACCTTATAAGAAACAGCACAAACCTGCTGTAATTTTGTTTTGAAGTCATCTTGGCTGTTCGATTCTTTCATCTGAGACACGCTGGAGGCAGAGAGGAAAGATAAACGTGAACATGTGCAGAAATCTTTACTGAAATAGATGTGTGTGCGAATTTTTAAATGGGTCAGAGCAATGGGTATGAGCCCTAAAAGATACGCTGTATGATGTTGTGTAGGAAAGACAGCTCACCTGCTGTCGGAGGCTTGGCTGAATTCAGAGGGCTCCTCATCTGTGCTCGCATAACCATTCTCTGGAAGCAAAACACCATTATGTCTCACGGTGCCACAGGATGCCCTAATGCCACATTCTGCGCCCCTTATTCACGAGGATCCCTACAGTGGGTAGGTACGCATATTTGATCTGGATGATTTTTACAACAGATGTCCTTCTTGACACAATTCCCAAGGCATATGTAGTATTCCTACACTAAAACTGAATCCACATATGGTTTTTCTAAGAATCGAAAACCTTGTTTATTTTTCTTTATGCTTTACCAAGAAGCAATGGGGCTAAACACAGTCCATCTCCTATGATGCAACACAGCACTTTCATGTGTGAGAAGAAACTAGAACAAAGAAAAAGCGGGCAACTGTGCAGCTTCTCTACTTTTTATGTCTTCCTTCTCCTTTGTCTCACCACATGACGCACAGGAGTCCTCTCTTACCCTGCTGTACGTTGTGGATGAGAGCCTGGAGCTCGGGGATGCACTCAGCCTTTTCTCTTAGGGCATCGAGGATCATGTGATTGTGGGACGAGCCAATCACATCTGTCTGTCTCAGCTGGCCTTCGAGCAGTCTGATTTGAGCCTCCTTCTGAGCCACCTGCAAACTCTGCAGGAACACCAAAGAAAATATAAAAACAACAACAACAACACAATACTGTAACACTGAACTATTTTAATAGGCTCTCAATTAGGGCTGGGTATCGTCACTGATTTCTAGAATCGATTCAATTCCGATTCACAAGGTCCCGAATCGATTCGATCCACGATTCGATTTAATTCGATTCGATTCGATTTAAATCTGGGAAATTTTGACAGTCAGAAATATTATAATTCAGATCAGTACATTTACATATTTTTGTATCAATAAAAAGGAAGCTGACACACGCAAGACTTTATCACAGGTGTAAGCGTCACAGCAGATGCCTTTGTGTCAAAGTAGCTGAAGATAAAACACAGAAAAACATGAAGGTTTTCCTGGCCTGGGATTTTATAAAAATATTCTGCAGTACATCAAAAACGAAAGAAAACCATTAATCAACATATGAACATCACCTCTGAAGTTACAGCGGTTTTATTAGAGACACGTTAAGCGTTTTGCATTTTGAATAATTTTAAAAAGTTTAAATTTGTTCAGTATTGAACAGCAGAAATGAGGTTTTCTTTTCGGAAGAATGTAAAAGGGAAAAAAAAACAGCGGCCGACAGCGTTGTAAGCAACAGTAGACTTGTGCGTAACAAGCAAGCGAATAATGACGAAAGGGAAACTGTTCTTGAAGTACAGAGAGAGAGAGAGAGAGAGCTGTGCATCGCGGTGGAAGCAAAACAGTAAAAGTCAGAGTGAATTCATGACGATGTTTATGTGAAGCGTTTGGATCTTCTTTTGCTGCTGGTTTGGTCAATATTGTTTGGAGAGAGATCAAACTAACAGCTTTAGAATCGGCGCATAAAGGGCGTGAACACAAAGCGCGGACCCGCCGACAGATCAGAATCAGCGAGCTGTCGGCTTTCAGCCCCGACCGTGAGAAAGACGACATCTAACTGATTCTGATCCGCGGGTCGCGCTGTGTGTTTAAGTCTATGTGCAGAATCCATGTTCCTGCTCTCATTTACTGTCTTAACTGTTTGGTGGTTCTTGAAATTTTGTGAGATTTCACCAGAGATTCTGGCATTTTGGGCAAAATAAATTTATATTAAAAAATCGATTCAGGATTTTAATGAATCGATTTTACGTTATCCAAGCCAGAATCGATCTTAATCCATGAATCGATTATAAAAACCCACCCCTACTCTCAATCCAGAAACGCAACACAATAATGTAGTGGGATACAGAGAAACACCACTAGATGGCACTGAAACCATCATTTCATGGATCCACACCTGACTGTAACATTATGCTGTGATACATCTTCTGACTCTTACTTACTTAAATCTTCTTAAAGCTACACATTTAAGCCTACAGAAGTTCTTTTCTTCCTTTAAACTTGACGGTTTTGAAAATCCCCGTGTATGATCATTTACCTTGTCTATGGAAGCCTTTAGGAAGTGATCCAGCAGGTGGCGTGCTTCAGACAAGGAGCATGAACTGATCACCACTGAGGTGTCCACTGAGTCCAGCTCATCCTGCAGGAAAACACACAAACATGAATGTTACTAAAGGCCTGACTCTCCTCATTGCTGGCATGCAGGTCTAAATACCTGTGCATGGGTTTGCGTCTTCATACCTTGGTCTCCTCTATCTGTACAATGGTGGCCTGGCAGTCAGACAAGCTGTCGTTGATGTAGTCTATATTGGCGTTCAGCACCTCAATATCCTCGTTAATTTCCTGAAGGAGGCGGTCCTCAGCTTCTGGCCCCTCCCCGTCCGCCATCAGCACCTCTCTCTTATGTGAGAGCGCTTCCTGTTGGGCCGTCAGCTCTTCTCGCTTCTGACTCAGCAAAAGCACAAATCACCACACGGTGATATTAAAAATTAAAATTCATAGTTATATTTAACATCTACAGAAGTCATTTCTACATTTGGAATCTTAATGTTCTGTTTATCTGAGGCACAAACTGAACAGACGCATTCTGACGCATCTAAACTCGGAGAAAAACCTGACAGAGTTTTAAATTCGATGATTCAAAGACAGCAGCTGCAAAAAGCTGCGTGCCAAGCCGTATCTGTGAAAAAGGCCGCCCTCCCTCCCACATTTTAACATTTCTTCATCTGCGAGGGAAAGGAGGAAGGAAGCGCCTCACACTCAGTTTCAGTTGTTAACCGACTACAGAAGTCAGCGTCAAAAAAGTTGCTGATGCAACCCCCGATGCTCAACTGCTCTCAACCCTTCAATAACCACAGCGATGTGCTGTACGTTTGAGAATTTATAATCCAAAACCTTAAGTCAGTCTCGTGGTAGAAAGAAACTACATCCATCAAACCACGCGTAACCCCGGTGACAACATTTTAGCCCTAGCGTGCCATTCCTACCTGGATAAGGCGATCCATGTCGGCTTCCATGTTTGCAATAGTCATTCTCTGCATGACGATGTCCGTGATTCGACGCTCGAGAGCTTGCCACTTCTGACGTGCAGACTTTGAAATGCTGCTGGTTCTGCCTGCAGCTCCACTGTTGCCCAGGCCGGCTGGCTTACGCGGCAACTTCTTTCTACTGCTGGTGATGGACCAAAAACAGGTGGCAAATACTGGATAAATAAAATGTCATCAACTCACAATAAGCAGCAATAAAGTTGTGTCATGTATTATATTAAAATCTGTATTGACTGATCTGTCTGCTTCCCCAGGTGTTGGGTTGCTAGTCTAATCATTACATCACTTCCTCACACTATAAAACTCAATCTTTCTGCCCGCCTTCTTTAAACCGATCGCCCTCCGCTCTGCACACTCTGCACCGCTCATCTTTCAGACTCCTCTGTGCGACCCACCTCCGCCCTGTCTCCGCCTCATGCAAGTGTCTTCATCCAAGCCTCCATCTCCATTATCACCACCACCAGCGTCTGGACCCTGGGTGGTGCTACCTGAGCTTTTTTTTTTTTAATTATAATTTTATTCAGCTCAGTCCAAGGACAGTATCATAGCATCTCGTCGTCTTACCCGATGACGCGTGTTCCATCCATGCTGCCTTCGCTCTCTCCCAGATATCCGTACACGCTGTTCTTGTTGTTCCACTGCCGCACCAGTCCGCTTACGGTCCTCGCAGTCTCGGGCTCAGAGCTGCTCGCCGTGGTGCTCGCTGATAACTCAGCTCCAGAGTCCGTAACCGGGGGAGTCTGGTTCCAGCGGGCCACTCGTCCAGCCACTCGATCTGACATAGGTTTGGCCAGGCGCCGCAGGGCGGTCACCTCCTGAGTCTTCCTGCGCAGCACCAGCTCCTGCTGCCGCTTCTGAGACTCCAGCGCACGAATCTGGTACTGATGGAGAAAAAAAACACAACCTTTTTTATAATATTCATCACTTTTTAAAAAGAAAATGCTTTTCAGTTGCCTTTGAGATCCCTGAGCTGAATGGGATTACTCGTCACACAACAGGTTTGCAAAGTGTTGATCATGAAGGGATTTTAAGACTTAAGATGAAAATCGAAATAAAAGGATTATGAATGCTGCCCACGGTATGACAGCGCAAAAGCTTTTCATGCTCATTAACGAGCCCTCTTCTCCAGGGAAGCCAAAAAAAGATGGAAGTTAATGCTTGCAGAGGATGCACTAATCTTAAAAACACAGAATAATACCAGAAGTATGTGTTCAGTATTTACATAATCCAGCACTCAAGTTTTCAGTGTGCCAGCCTACAGATGGGGCTCTGACTCTACATTTACATCCATATGCATTGTGCATACAGATTCACCTACATTTAATTCTTTGGATACAGCAGATAACACTTAAAGTTCTGCCACGATGACAGTGATAGCAACATAGTTTAACCTCGTTTTTATAGATGTTATATCTGTGCTTGTGCTAAATCTCCCAATAAATCCCAAATAATTCTGCTGCTAACCTGAAAAATCACATATACAATCCTAAATATAAAACACACGCACAAGAGGTCATATGCTGCTAACCTCTTGCCGGCGCTGCTCCTTCTTTAGCTGGGCTATCTCACGGTTTCTCTTCGCCTCTACCATCCTCCTCCTCTGCTGCTCCTCCTTCATCTGCTTCATCAGCGCCACCTGAAAATGGCAGAAAACACTGGTGATCGCACAGCATCCTTCCCTTCTTTCCTCCACACAGACTTCCAGCAGCCCCTTCTTACCTTGGCCTTCTTCATCTCGTTGACCTCGCCCTGGAGCTTCTTCAGCTCCCGTTCATACCTCCCCTGGTTCTTGAGGAGGCGTGCGTGCTCCTTCTGTGCCGTCTGTAGCTTAAGCAGGTCGCGATTCATCTCCTTGAGGCGTTTTTCGTACTCCTGCTTGATCCGGTTGGCCTTCTCCTCCGTGTAGTTCTCCATGGTCACTGCACAACCGTGTAACAACGTTAACGAGCCGTAGCCGACACCTCGCGTGACACTTTGCACTCACGGAGCAACTTAACTAAACTCACTGAGGTTCTGTAGCACGCGGTCTCTCTCCAGCTGCGTGTCTCTGATCTTGTTTTGCAGCAGGATGAGCTTCTCCTCGTACTGCAGCTTTAGCATCAGCAGCCTCCGCTGGCTGTTCTCCAGCTCATCTATCAGCTTCTGCTTGATCTCAATCTCGCAGGTCAGGTCTGCCAGGTCCGCCTGGAAGTTGGCTGCAGGTTGAGGAGTTTTGAGGTTGTAAACCAAATTGCACCATTTGTGTGTGTGTTTCATATACAACTGTATATTAAGAAATATGTAAAAAAAATTTCCATCTAGATGCAAATTCATTTCTGCTCTTTTTACACTAAAAACATCTTTATCTTTACTGTAAATCATCTCTCACAGCAAATGATGTCCTGACAGAAAGAACAGCTGATAAACAGGGAGAAAGAGTGAAAACAGTGGTGTCATTTCATAACAGCATCTGTCAGGGCCACACCTTTCTCATCCGAGTCTGAGTCCGAATCCACCAGGCTCTCATCACTGTCAAAGTCATCCTCTTCCTCCCTACCCTCCTCTTCGTCCTCCCCCTCCTCGTCATCGCAGCCACTCTCCTCCTGCAGTGGAGACATGATGTCCTGCGCACGCGGAGAAACGCACAAACGATCAGACTCGTTACGGTCACTTTAAAGCTCGCGAGTGCCGACTCGTGCGGGTCTTACCTCGGTGTAATTCTCATCTGAATCGATCTCTCCGCCCTGCCCGTTCTCCCCGCCCTGCCCGTTCTCCTGAGTGTGCAGCTTTACTCGTTTCTTCAGACCTTTCTCCAACTCTGGGCTGAAGGAGAAGAGCACGCGTGTCAACCCAGGTACTGTCAGGCATGGGTTTCTCCACAAAAATCACATCACCTTCAGCGCTATACCAGATGGTTTTTGCCGCACAGAACCACTCCCCTGAGAGTAACTAAGATCGTGTACACTCTGACATCCCTTATTGTGCTCTGGGAGTCTTGCCAAGTAATATGCTTACTGCAAAATCAACCAACAAAAGTCATTAAGCAAACTCTTCTTCACCTTGTCTACCATCATTGCCCCTTTAGCTCTTGAGTTTTAGTGCCAGTTTTATTATCTCCTTTGCTCCCTCTTCTACAAACTTATCAGCCATCCCAGCTCTAAATTCCCATCTTCCTCCATTTCACTGCCATTAGGCCTCAATTAGCCTGTTAGGCTGTGTACTCTTCTCTCTCGTGACCCAGTAGCCGACTGACTAAGACCTTTCTGTGTCCAAGCCAGCGTTACAGCTCAGCATTGGCAGCATACCAACTCTTTTCAGAAGCTGGCAGCCCGCAAGTCCTAATTTACTTGTGATGTGGGGCTTAAAGAGAAAAGTAATGAGGAAGGGAGAAAATATATGGTCAGGAAATATTTCACAACCATCACCTTCCCTTTAAACCAGCTTTTAAAATCTGAAGAGGTTCATATGAGGCGTAAATTGAGCCATTAGATATTATATTTGCATAAAACAATGTTTGGAGGTCTACATGTCCTCTGCTCCTCACCTCATCCTCCTCTGCCTCCTCTCTTTCTTCTTCAGTCTCTCGATATCCAGCTTGGCCCGGCGTAGCACGTCCGTCATCTCCGCCTCCATAGACATGGGAGCAGGCGAAGAACCCGGGGGGTGACCGGGGGCGGGGCTGAGAGTGGAGGTGGGGAACGGGGAACGGGAGGAGAGCCGGCCCACTTGTCGCCGTAACGACTCGTTCATGGACTCGCTCTCGAGAAGTTTGGTTCTGGCAAAGGTGGAAGAGAGGGACAGAAAGAGGCGACAGAGGTTTCATTCATGAATTTTATTACTACAGCAATAAGAAATACAGAAGGGAAAACTAAATAGATAATCACACATAAGTGTCCCACAATAAACCCCTTAATTAGTACACTTTTCCCTGCTGTGGGAAGTCAAAAAGCTGCGAAAAACAGTTAAAATAAATATTGATGTCACACGTACATGTAGTATGTAATTTGACTATCGCTCTCATATTAAGCTCCAAACTGTAGTGACACACTTGCGTACTGTCGCTGACTTTAATAGACCAGCCCAGCGGGAGCTCACAGCTTGCAGAGAGAAGAGGAGAAACAACTGAACTGAAGCTGAACTGCACCACACTGAATGACTCAGCCGAACTAAGTGGGTTTCTGTAAGAAGTGGGTCCCTCCAGGTGTGTAAGAACGTGATGCAGCAACAGAAAAGTCTAACTGTAGGCACCTTACTATAGTCAGCTCAAAGCCTGTGGAGAAGCTGAGGCTGCGGTTCAGTTCACAAAAGCTGCTCATGGAAAAGATTTAGTTCCGTTATATTTAATCAAAGAGGCATCTTCAAAGAATCTAGATGGATAAACAGAACTACAGGAAAGACACAATTGTGATTTGGGGATAAGCAGCTTACTTAAAATATCACAGTTATCACAGTAAATACCAATCGCTGTTAGTCTGTTACTGGTTTGAGTGACCACATAACGATACTCAGGCTCTTACCTGAGTTCTTCAACCTCTCGGATATAGTTCTGTATTAGAGTCCCGATCTCCTCGTTGCCCTCGCCTGGATGATGAAAAGTAAAAACGCACTCAGATCACGGAAAATGCAGTTAATTTTAAAAAACAAACAAACATCGTCATTGCAGAGGCAGAGCTCGTCCGATTAAGGATCTCTCACGTACTTGACTTGGCGAGCAGAGTGCTGACCTCATTGGCCAGCAGATGTGTTACGCGTGAGTTGAGGTGGTCGATGGTCTCCTGCATTGCTTTCACCCTGAGACGCAGGGTGTCATTTTCTCTCTGCAACATGGTGTTCTCCTGGTACAGGTCACTGTAGCCCTCTGACCCTTCCTCACAGGCTACACGCTTCCCCTGCACAGAGCAGACGGTTGGCACGGTCAACAAATGCTTTGGCGTCCAAGGGTCAAAGGGCAGACGTGAAAAAACAAACTCAACCTAAATTTACGCTCATACAAATACGCCACGCTGAACCAAACAGAGTGCTGTTATTTACAATGACCGTGGCTCTACAGCGATGTATTGTTGCGTTTTCAGTGAACAACGCTGAAAAAATCCCGTTGTTTCCAACAGAGAGTCACTGTTAACCGCTGCTCGCAGCCATTAACTCCACTTCATTACTTCCACACTCAAGTCACATCGCATCCCTTATTACCACATCGAGGTCAGCTTGCCATCCCTCAGCACAGTCACTTCCCTGTAAGTGTGGTAACCCTTTTAGTCACGTAATAACGCAACAACAGAGCTAAACGATCACTTGTTTCTTACGGCCCCAGAGGTCAAAACTGATGAAAGTGGCCCGTCTTTCTCTCCCCATTTCTCCTCACAGTTCTCATATTATTCTTCGTGGAGTTTACACTCAAGCTGAAACATCAATTTGTCCTTACATTACACTGTAAAATGCTGACAAGTGATGTGTGTGTTCCAGTAATGATCTTTAATTTGATATATCTGCAGCAAGCACGGCCTCTCCTTTTATTACTTAGCGTCTGATATCATTCTCCCTTACTCCATTACTCTGTCTTCTTCTGCTTACACACTATTCTCAGTTTCATCCATCTTTGCCCCGCACATACCCCCTCACTAACTACATCACCAGCATGCAGCTACATCCTATTGCTCTTCCTCTGGGCTCATCCCGCCCCCCCCCATCGCTCACCGCCTTGTACTCCATCAGCTCCATCTGAAGTCGGGCTATCTCGGCGCGCAGGGCGCTGATCTGCTGGCTCGTCTTGTCTTGGTTCACCATCACCTTGTTCTTGATGTTTCGGGCGCGATTGGCGTACTTCAGTGTGTTCAGCGTCTCCATGAAGTCCCGGTCTGACGGGCTGACGCAGGCGATCATGACCGTACGACTGAGGGAAAAAGAAAACACAGAGGCCGTCGGTAAATGTGCATAAGATTTGGTTGTCATGGTTGTTACACGTTGTTGTGGAAATAACGTGATTAAGTAACTGACCAATCACTTCAGCTCCAAAAAAAAACTCCCTTTTGTGTCACCAAAATGTAGATTCTTCTGAATATTACATCTTTTTCTCACAAATACAACTTCTTCATATGTGTGTGTCTGTGTGTGTCTGTATGTGCTTATACCTGTTCCCTCCCAGCGAGTCCTGAAGCAGTCGGGTAAGTTTGGAGTCTCGGTATGGGACGTGTCCGCCCTTCTTGGTCTGATCGCCTAAAGCACTGATCACATTTCCCAGAGCCAGCTAGCAGAGGTGCAAAGACACACAAGAAGAAGATGTGATCTAAGCATGCACAGTTATTTCTTTTGTATACAGATTTACAATCTTACACTGGCGATCCCTGCCTGACTTACAAGTCCACAATTAATAGAGATTCCCTCGCGGGCTCTGTCTCCTGTAGCGCCTGTGCGTTTCAGCCTCTCGGAGCCAGCCAGGTCCACGAAGTGAAACTTGGCCATCAGTGTCTCATACTCTGGCTGGGAGATCGGGCCAGACTCCACACCACCGTTCAGCTCTCCATTCTGCCCTCCTCCACCGTTCTGCTAAGAAACCAACAAACACAGGGAAGCAGGTTGCTGAGTTACTGTTTTTTACTTTAAACTAGCAATCATTTAATCACTCTGAACGATGCTGAATTATTTATGTTTCACTTCCACTCTCTCTGCGCGTCATCATATGTGACTTTTCTTTTTACTCTTCCTAAAAGTCACACGTTTCCTAATAGCTTATCGTTTTCCGTCTCCTCCGGCTAACAGCCGACAGGTTTTCATATAACCTGATGATGGCAAAGTTGTAATAACTCTAAATACCTCTTTTGTCTCTCTCCTTCTTTCCACCACCCATTCCAAACTCACCATTTGCTGCTGACAGACTCGCATCTGACAGAGGTGGATGGTGAAGATGGCGTGCGAGCGGGAGCTCTGGGCGTTCATCTGAGTGCTGGCAGTGGTGCGGGACAGAGCGCCGAGTTTCAGGCACTGAAGCAGCTGCAGCACACACACACACAAACACATTATACATGACATTTGGTTACATTTACTGGAAAGTAAGAAACCTCCTGACTTACGCATGCAGACTGAGTTTCTGTTTAAGTACCCATGAGTATGATCACGTATTGTTTTAAGAAGACACTCTCAGCTTCCTGGAAGAGTTCAGCATTTCCCACAGAGATGTTCTTGTCATCACCGCTCGCTTAAGCGCTAGCATTTCATTAACCTTTACTTTTCCTTTCCCTGCCCTCTCAGCTGCCCTCCCCTCACTCTTTATCATAACCTGCCTCCATCCTGTCTTCCTCTTCTTTTTTTCTGTCTTCTTCTTCCCTCCCACAGGAGCACCCTCCCGTCTCTCAGCTGTCTGACTTTAATGCAGATAAACGACCCCAAATTCAGCCTTTCTTCCTCTTTCTCTCTGCGTCTTTTAACACTTGCTGACATCATTCTTTCTCTTTCCCACCTTTAGAAAAAATTGAGTAACCACAACCACAACCGCCTTGTCCAAGTCAGTGTTTCAGTGTAGCTCTTCCCCTAAACGAACACCTTTTTTCTGTGTATCTTGTGACCAAAGATTCCTCGTGTCCTAATGGGCCTTTCGTATCCTTCTTCCTCCTCACTGTCAGTGCTCTGCGGTTTCCTTTCTCGTCAGCTGTGACACATTTCTCATATGTGACCGTAAACAAGCCAGCCTCTCAAGAAGGAAGCTAAACTTCATACATAAATAGCCCCACGGGTTTAAAAATTGACGTCGGTCAGTGCAGCAAAATAGAGCCCAGTCTCCGCTGTTATCTCTGACCTCTTTGTTGTTTATGAAGACGGACCACCAGATGGTTCTTGGCAGTTCACACTCCCATGCTTCCCCTCATCCCAGTCAGAGCTAATTCGTGTCTTCACAGTGAATACTTTCCGATGTAATATCGCTCGTCACTGTACAGTCATGGGAGACTTGTCTTCTGGACTTTCTGGTTCATTTAAAGTTGTTATATCAACCACCGAAGTGTAAAAAGTTGTTATTTTGTTCAGGATTTTGCACGATAATCTGAACATTTTTAAAATATACACTTAATGAAGGAATTATTAAAAGGTTTAATCACTGTTGGTAAATACTGATACTCAGATAGATGCTGATCTGTAAGGGGATCCGGCTGCTCTGCTATGCTGTGGGAGGTATTATGCTGGGATGGTTTCGGTCTACTTATAGCCTTATGCTCACATATTTTGTTTCTCATTTCTGATCTGAGCTGTAGATGTTGGCAAAAATGTGATAACGTCACCAATCACATCTCTACACTCACAGACCCACCTCGTCCTCTGAGTGCACCAATCTGGAAGTGACTCCCGTGGTGTAGATGCTGCCACTGGCGTCCTCGTGGATCTTTATGGCGGACTTCCTACCGCGACTCTCTGGATCTCTGGTTCCATCGAACAAGTCCAAGATCTCTTCATTGTACAGCTGCAAGGAGCAGAACAAGCACACATTAAGGCCTATCGCACATCGTACAATTCGTACACGCTCAGTGCAAGGATGAGCGCCTCTGCTGAAAATGATTGCGCGCCTCTTAAAACTGAACTATTCCGTTCCGTTAAACTGATTTCTAGTTTCGTATTTCCACACAGCTCTGCAGCCACAGAGGTCAACGTGATGACAGCTCAGAAACCTTTGAGGACAAGGGTCAAAGAGGTCAGCTGAAAGCTCAGCTGCTCCCACCTAGTGCTAAACACACACACATACACACTCGCCCATCTGTTAACCATCAACGAAGATAACCTTTTGACCTGAAAGCCCACAGAAAAGACACTAATAGCGAGAAGCAGGAACGCAGACAAAAGAAGGAAAAGAAAAATGGACAGAAAACGATTTTATTTTGAAATTTGAATTTCTATTACATTGTAATTTATTATTACGCTGTTCAGTTCTCTCTCTCCCCCACACATACACAAACACACACATGCAGTAGTAATGTCCCCTAAATAAAACCCAAACATTTGCCTGCCAGAAACCCCCAGAGGAAATAATTACTCGTATATTATCTAATTTCTCCTACGCAAGCGTCCCTCCTTCCTCCCATTCCTTGCACTTATCCATCTTCTCCCGCACAGTGATGAGGAATAATGTCAGAGGTAATGGACAGCATTAATCAGGACCCACAATGCACGAGCAGACATTCACGCTCATCTGTCTTCAGGTTGTCACTTCCTGTTTACAGAAGCGGGTCTGATCTTGTCGTCTCCCCCATTTTGTCCCATCTGGTTGGAGTTAATATGGACCAGCATACACAAAAACGCGCACTTAGGAATATCAATACAGCATTGTATGAGTGTCAAATAGAGTAACAATGTGAGCGCTGCCTACCTCCAGGAACTGGGCGCTGACTTTAAAGTCCGGTGGCTGGGTGCCGGCCTCCTGGGCGCGCATCCTCCTGGCCTGGATTCCCTCAAACAGCTGATGAACAGCCCGCGGGATTATGCCCTGCTCCTGTGGGCTCAGGCTTACATCGAAACCCGTCCCCATGGTGTACGTCTTCCCTGAGCCCGTCTGTAAAATGATTCACCAGTGATTTATCACATTCCTTGTTTATCTACAGAAACAAGGTTTCACACACATTCACTGTAGTTAATTAAAATCAGTAAACCGTGAGTCAATGTGCATGGCTATGCTCGCTGCACGGGTGTGTGTACAGACATGTGCACGTTTCTGCTTTGTTGTTCTTTTATCTATTATGTCAGCTGCAACAATTCACCAAGCGTTGCTGCTCTCGCTCACTTATATTTGATATGAAACATATGTAACGCCGAATGACTTGAAAGACCCTTTAATTCATGCAAGTCATGTCTGTCCAGGACTTTAATTATATGTGAAGGGTAACAGAGCCCACGCATGAACTGCAACATGTCTTTTTGTAAGTACTAGACGCACAGACACATAAAGGTGGCCAGCCTCCTCCTTAGTTTGGAATCTCACAAAACAAAATAATATAAAAGCCATTAAGTGATGATTTATTTATTTTTTTGTGCATCCGTGATCAGTTCACTAGGATTCAGTTGCCTTGCTCTTATTTTGAAAGCTCCGACACTACCCTGGCCCTTCCCTCAGGTTTTCCCTGAGTGACATGAGGCCAGGTTGCCGGCTGTTGGAGCAGTCCTCAGTATCGTTCAGCTGCTTCTCAGAAGAGGATCTCGCCCTGAGGTTGGACGAACATCTTTGGTTATGCAAACCAAAGAACCTGGAACAGGGATAGCAAACTGGGCAAGGTGGCGCTACGTCAAGGTAAAGGAGGATGCAGAGAAAATCGGCGACTACCATGGTGTCTGACTTTGAAACCTACCGCTCATTACTTACACATTTTGCCTGCTACATTTACTTTGCAGTTCGACCGATGTTTCCCTAAAAATGCCCAATGTTTGAATAAAATCCTTAATGGGAAAACTAATAGTTTGTTTGATTTTACTTTTTCATATTTAAATAAAATAGTGACTAAATTACAAAATAAGAGGTAAATAAGAAAGACCTTCAAACTCTCTGTGAATTATTCATTTAAAAAACACCTCTAATGTAATTGTACATTTCTGAGCTTCTCCTGCTTCGGGTCTTACTGAATGGAAGACTCGATAGTCTTATTCAGTCTCAGTGTAATATTTCAGAAGCATCACAACATCTTGATGTACGAGTTATCTTTTATTACAGTCTTCTAACAGCATTCTGCGGCCGTGGCAGAGAGATAACTCATCTCTATAAATATTCTAGTCTCCCTCTTTGTCAGACAGCATGCAGACTGCTGTCATGCTGTCTGCACTGCTGTTTGACCCCTTTGTGAAGGAAAATAAAGCTCATAAAGACAACCTGGCTGCGTGCACCTCAGTTTATTTCAGATTTCCTTAACGGAATCCAAGCACCCGTGTCATACCTGACCGTAAGCGAACACGGTGGCGTTGTAGCCCTCGAAGCAGCCCTCGATGAGCTTGTACACGCAGTTCTGGTAGATGTGGGGCTGCTCTGAGTCAATGTCGAACACAAAGTCATAGGTGAAGGCCTTGTCCTTTCCCAGGAGGACTTGAGGCTCTCCGGGTGTGACCAACGTGCACACGTGGCAGCCTTCTATCTTCTCTTTGGCCATCTGAGGGCGAATCCTGAGAGACGACAACAGAAAGGCAAAGAGAGAAATCGTTAGTACATTTATGAAACTGTTACATCGATTTAAAAAAGGAAAATGACGGCTGTCAGGCAACTCAGCAAGACAGGCCGCTGATTGTTGCAGAGCCTGAATGATTTTAATGCTTTAATGCATCGTGCAGATAAAGCATGAGATTCTGATCCCACACGGTGCACTGGAAACAAAGAACAGTGAGAATATGAGAGCGCACAAAGTGGGCATAAAGTGAACTGTTCTAAGAGCAGGACCACTGATGTTGGCACATCATACAAGCTCTTAAAGCCATCACCACAGTGGCTGTTAATCCTTCATCTAAAGACTCTGCTGGGTTTTCCTTCCTGACAGGTAGTTCACTGCAGTTAATTGCTTTTACCTGAGATCTCAGCTTCAAAATAATCCATGATTAGATGAGCCTGAAAGGCCGCAGCCGCAGCTCCAGAACATCTTACAAACTCGCTGACAGCTCGAGGGCCGAGAATTTAAGTTTAGGAACATTTTCACTTCCTTGCCGGCAGAAGAGCAGAAACCCAGACAAGCGAGACCGCTGTTTAATTAAGATGGAGCCTTTAAGGACGTGACAGTGCTGCAGTGCTGATTAATCGTGAGAAAACACCACACAGAAATGTTGCTCTTGCATAATGCAAGTACATAAAACAGATGATTTTCCAGGCGCCCTGTTAATCTTGTGCTTTCAGAGGTACAATATGGACACAGTAGGGAGGTAATCACTTTAAGCTGCGGAAAAAGCCATGAGGCAGCAGTATCAGAGCAGTAGGTCCACCTCTTCACATGCTAAGTCCCCCCACCCGACTCAGTCTTTAGGGGATGCAAATCAACACCCCCACACACCAAGACTGCACAAGAGACTCCCTATGGGATGCAGCAACAAAGACACACACATAATGTATAAAGCGAGAGAAGTCCCCAACCACATCCAGCTGCGGCGGGATGCTCCGCAAACCACACACACACACACACTAAGACTCTGGAAACAAGTGTTGTACACATGCAGTTCAAAAACAACCTTACTGTACTATCTTCATTTCACACATTGCTCTCAAGCGAGCACCCCACCCACCGCTAACACACAGAGTTACACTTCTGCGCACACAGGGGCAGCTTTCTGGCCATCTTTCAGGCCTCGAGGCCCCGCAGAGAGACTTCCAGGAAGAAATGAAGGCTATTAGAAGAAGTCCACAGCAGCACACGTTAGCCTAGATAACCTTATGACAAAGAGGGCGACTCTGAAAGCAGCTTGCAGACAGGCGAGCTCCTTTTATGACTGGATGTGACCTTGACCCGAAGGTTAATGTATCTAAAACCGCAGATCTCGCAATGAACGCTGCTTAAAGCAATTATTAAGATGAAGTGGAGCCCACTCGGTCCCCACGATGGATTTCACGGCAACACAACGCGCGTGTGAGCTGCAGCTGTGTCATGAAAAGAGAAGAAAAACTTTCTTTTTGCTTCTTTACATTCATTTCATCCAGTCTGTGTGCACTGCCTTAATATTAGAAGTGAAAAGAAAGAAGGACATTTAAGTTAATTAACCCCATCATCGTTACAGCACATATTCATAACTGAGTTTCTACTTCTACCTATCACCGAGCGACTGTGTAGGAGCGTCTCTGCAGAGCACTCATTTTGCGCTCGATGCCTTTGGCAGGACTTTGTCTCGTGGAGCATGTGTGAACATATTCGACAGACCCAACCCAAGAACGAAAGAATTATCACAATTCTCATTAGCTTTTAATCATTTAAGGCATCTGTTTTTTTAAGCTGGACGCCTAAAGTTGTCACTGTGAGGCGCAAATGAGAACACTTCCACACACCCGGCACGCACAACTACAACATCCATGCGCACAAAGAAAGATAACAACAACAGTCCACACAGAGACATTCAGGTAACAAGCTAAAGGCTCAGCTGGATGAGCATTTAAGCCAGCTGTGCAAACAAAAGAAGGGATCCATAACATTGACCGGAAAACACCCAAACACACACACACACATCCAGACTCAGATATACACTCATTTAAGGAAATTTAACGGCTAAAACTAGCATCCAATGTGCCGGTTAAACGTCTGAATCAGACTGAGGGGTAAGGAAAAACACAGAGGAGCAGATTGTGGATTCCTGATGCGGCAAATTGAGGCGTTTATCGCTTATCATCTTTGCACACTAATAGGAAAATGAGTCAGATACCCCAGGGAGTAAATAAAGTCCCTGAAAGAACACACCCCGCCTGCCCTCCACGTATGCATCCTCACACACAGATGAATTTAAAGGTGAATTTGAATGCAGCATCATGCTTTCATTACTTACCCTCCCCCAGTTTTTGTGTGTGTGTGTTTTTATGGCATAAACACCAAACCCAGTTCTGTCAAACGCAAAAACAAGCAGACACACAAAGTTAGAAACTCATTATCCCCAAGCTCTGAGGGAATTCGGTTATTATTACAATAATTATTGTACCCCGTAGTGCTAATTAGGACGTGCAACAAGGACGCACAGAGGCACGCGCAAACGTGGAAGCGGCTGCCATATCTAACGCTGATAACAGCAAACTCCACTGACGCGTGACTGGAGAGAGAAGCTGAGTGCAACATGAAGGAGGCAGCAGACCTGTTAGAATACTGATCGCACTCCTCCAATTAAAGCCTTCGAAAACCGACGTGATTTACGTTTCTTAGGTTCACTTGAAGTTATGAAGGAACACATCAAAAAGCAGTGCCTCCCAAATGTGACAGTAGGAGCGAATCACAGATTTCATTTGTGGGATTTAAAAATTCAGAAATGCATTTAGTCCCGCAAAACGAAAGCACGACACGTTCATCTCTCATAATTCAGTTTTACAGGCAAAACAAAAATAAAAAATGTTGGCACGTCGTTGGTACGGCAGACTCCGTGGGGATGCTTCTGCCTCGGTGATGGATCGGTGCTAGACTGACAAAACACGCGCTGATGCAGCTCGAGATGGTTTTTCATTTGTGCACATAATGCTGGCTTATGTAAGAACATAAAAGAACATAGATGGTCTGAAAACTGCAATTTGTGTGTTTGTGTGTAGGTTTCAAAGCTGAAATGGGTCTGCTGCACAGAGTAGGAATCAAACGCCGGTGGTTGTTTGATGAATTTGCTCAAATATGACCAAATTCTCACTGGGCAGATAACTTTTGTTACTTTCAAGGAGAAAAGCACTACATTCATAGCTTTCCAGAAGTGATACTTTGTTTTTGGCAGTAGGATAAACTGACTAAAAAAAATCAAATAAAATCCTGCAAAGCTGCAAAACACCTGCTTTATTCTCGCAGTTCTGACTCATGTTAGATTTGCTCTTCTCTTTTCAGTTCACTTCCTCTGTTATTAGTTGAGCCTCCTCTGTGTTTTGTTGTCAAGGCCCTGTCTTAACAACCTGCGATGCCTAAAAACACCTAACACTGTGTTGGTTGTTTCTCTCTTTAGTTGCTTCCTGTTTTATTTTACTTCCTCCTTGTCTGTTTATTTAGATTCGGTTCACCTGTGCCTTGTTTCCCCCAGCTGTGTTCACTCCCTCTGATTACTTTGTATGTTCTTTTTCTTTTTTTAAAATTACCTCTTTCCTTTTTCTTTAGTTGAATTTATAAACAAAATGCCACAGTTTGACAGATATGAACTTGGCATATCACTGCATGGTGTGGAGTGTTTCCTTAAAACATTTGAGGAAATTGGGCAAGACCTAAAAAACACTATTTACATGAACATTATTAAGAAACAGGGAAAAATCCAGCAAAGACTTAGAAAAGGACTCAAAAGAAGCATCGGGCCCTTCACTTAAACTCCCTGCTGTTCACGGAGGTCTCTTCAGAGTGGTCTGAGTGGAAGGCTGGCTATCAGGAAGACATTTTTAATGAAAGGATAAAGGAAGAAAAGGGTGAGGTACTCCAAATCACACAAGACCTGCACTGAAAATCAGTGGCAACGGGTCTTTAAATTTAATAAAACTTTGGGTTCAAATTAGGGCTGCACGATTTTGCATAAAATGAGAATCACGATTTTTTGGCTTAGAATTGAGATCACGATTCTCTCACGATTTTCTTTTCCAGTATAAATATTTATTGCACTTATTAACTGCACATCAACTTCGTAACAGTTGAGACTGAACATAAAAACAATAAATAAACATAAAAACAACAAATGTCTCACATTTTGTGGTTGCTGCAAAATGTTGTACTGCTTGAAATTCCATCTCCACCATTGTCAAAGGAGCTTGCAAAGAAAAGCGTCTGGACTTCTTTAAGTTGCTTGAAGACGTTTCACCTCTCATCCAAGAAGCTTCTTCAGTTCTAAGGTCAAATGGTGGAGAGTCCCAGATATAAACCTAGTGGGAGAAACCCCCCACAGAGGGACAAAAGGACCCCCTGATGATGACCCCCTGATTCGCATGATAAGGTGGGGCCAGGTTTCACAATGAACACACCCAAAACTCTGGCTGATTGGGACCCACACCCAGTTTCACATCTTGGCTCAGGCGATTAGAGGATCATCAGGGGGTCCTTTTGTCCCTCTGTGGGGGGTTACTCCCACTAGGTTATATCTGGGACTCTCCACCATTTGACCTTAGAACTGAAGAAGCTTCTTGGATGAGAGGTGAAACGTCTTCAAGCAACTTACTTTTCTTTGCAAGCTCCTTTGACTACGATGACCTGGATGACTGAGAACCTTCACAGACATCGCCACCGTTGCTCGACACTGCGTGTATAGAGCAGGTGGTGCAACAATAGAAAAATAGTTGCGGGACGGCACTGTGTAGCGTTTGTCTAGGGTGTTGATCATTTTCCTAAATCCCTCGTTTTGTACAGTGTTGATGGGAGCCATATCTTTGGTCAGGTGATAAGTAATAGCCTCTGTAATTTCTTTGTGCCTGCGGGAGTTCGACGTGAAGCGCTGTATAAGGTTCCCGTTATTGATGTTTGGGTGGTTGACCGGGACGGATTTTC